CTGCTACAGGTGGCATCAAAGCTAACTGCTCCCATACCCACGGGCAGGAACGACATCGCATGCGTATGCGATCCGATTAACGGTCGGAATCCGGCATTGACTGCAACTCACCGGGGGAAACAAGTTCTTTACGCGGATCTATCGAAGACCCGGTGTGCGGTAGGAAGATCCATGCTGGTAGGAAGAACCTCGCATGCACAATGCTATCCACGCGTATAGAGGTATCAGACTGACATGAACGGAATTGTCATCGCCTGGGCTGCCTTTCGGCGCTGACGAGCTCGGCATGACTTCACGAGCGGTAGACGGTTCTCAGGGCAGCTACCGCGTTGCCCCATAGGGCGGAACCGATGGTTGCGTTCTTCCGATCAAACGGCACGAAGGCGCTACGGTCCATTCACGATGAGATGGCACAGGTAGTAGACTGACCGTGGCTGTACATCCCATCAACACCATGGATGACGTTCATTTGGAAGCGGACGGTGCTCTGGCTCAATCTCCGGACAACGAGTAGGCGGATGCAGTGAAGCGATGCTCGGACAGCAAGCAGGCGGCGGAGCCCTTTTGCCAGCGTCGAACGACCAGAAGAAGGGGTGTGCGCAAGGCACGTTTGCAGACGGCCTACCGGGTTCCAAGGGCGCTACATGCCAAACAATGGTACCTCGAGGAGACAGTAGCTTCCTGAATGGAGATTGCAAGCTATCGCCACCATATTGTGGTACGTCGCCGGCGCCTGCGAATCGCCAAACCCGTGTAGAAGTGAGTCAGACCGTGTGCGTAGCGGGTAGTACTGGATTGTCAAACGAGACGCATCGCCCATCACAGCTACCAAGAAAGTGCAAATAGACGACATGGACACGGCCGCGGATGAGAGAGGCAAAGGACGCAAGAAGTTGCTTATGCGATGGCCGGTCCCTTGATTCGTTTTAGTGCGCCGTGGGAGTCGATTCAGCGCTCGGGCTGGGTCTTCCCTTCCTTACGCTGGCATCTCTGGGAAGGCATGCTGTGCCTTTGTGCTAGTGCTGCCGCGAAGTGAGGTCAAGGTCGCCTTAAGCCGTCGGAGTTCATACCTTGAGTCACCTTCAGGCGCCACAAGGTGACTTCAAGGTGCATCACGTGTCGCATTAGCAGTACAAGAGAGTGTCCGGGGATCTCGGCGCGATGTTGAACAAAACTGTTCTATTCAGTTGTAAGAGATGTGCTTTATATATACTCGAGGCCAGTTGAGACACATACTACCTGGTGCAATTTGCGGATTATCTGAGTCCCCACATTATATGGCGAGGTGATTTGAATATGCCTCATTGGTGTCTTCTAGGCTCAGGCCCAATATGTCTTCGGTGCGGTACTTCAGCCTGCACGTGTGTCCACACAGATAGTATTTAACGTGATACATCGGCAATGCTCATCTCCTGAAATCACTACTGAGAAGTGGTTCCAAGCACCTACAGCAGCGGGCCCTGAGCCTGCAGGAAGACAGTTGAAGTATGACGTGATCACATAGCTCATGGGTCATCAAGAGACATGAGCTCCTTCTGTGCATGATACGATGGTGTTCCATCTGCTTTCCATTATGTTGGTGCTATACAGACAAAGGAACACATTCGGAGGGCACAAACCTCGAGTTGCAAACACGTCTCGCCCACAACGCGGATTACAGCACGTGATATGTCTCACGGGCACCGACCTTGAGGCCACCTTGACATTTTTGCTGATCAAGGCGACCTTGAAGTGACCTTGAGGGTCTTTTTTCGAGCTCCGCTCAAGGCAAGGTGCACATTGCCTTGAAGTGACCTTACTTCGCGGCAGCACTACAAGTTTGTGCTAAATATTCAACACTCAGGTCCCCGTCATTCTATGGATGGCTCGCCCAAACGCTCATGCTTCTCTAGTTTCATTCGTTTACCAAACGCTCGCTCTACTCTAGTCTCTATCAGTTTTCTTCCCAGTCTGATCCCGACAACATGCGTTCTCCTCATAGTGCCCAGACGAACACTGATTCGGTGGTTCGGGAGACTGGAGTGTAGATTTATGGGTGGTTGGACTGGATGATGCGAATGGTATGTGCCATACAAAGTTTATCGAAGACCGTGCGGTCTGTTCCTCGCTGTAATGAACACTTCCCGCACGCCTCTTTCTCAGACACTGCCATTGATTGCGTGGTATACTGCCGGCTGCCTATTAGCCCCTAAGTCTCTGGTGATATCCTGTCTGGGCCTATTGCAAAACCGGGCCTTGATGCATCTGATGGTACGCTCAAGACCGTCCTGCCAGCGTCCGAGTCTTTCCAGACGGCGATAATGTAAACGTGTCAATCACTCACGGCACGGCTATCGAACATTCACGAGGATGTCCTACGGAGCGTACCATGTGTCAGAATCTCATCTTGTAGTATTTGACCCCAGCCTTGATGTTCACCAGCGCCCCATGGTGGCGGCAGCATGAGGACCATTGATCACCGAGTAACCTAGTGCGCACCAACCAGAACGATTCACCTACTGAGAGGATATCTCACCCTATCACTTGTTGTCCCCAGGACTTTACCTGGGTCTCATCTCCTACCTACGGTGGGAATGGGATAGTTCAGTGGTTCCGTTTAGGTCATAGTGGCTGCTGGAACGATGCACGGCGCTTGTCGTCGTTGGTACAAGGGCCGACCGGGAATTGGAAGTGTCTCGTTACAGGTAGAGGGTGTACGTCATTGAGCCGAGCTCGAATGGGGGCATGCCGTGAGGGCGATAGAGCTGCTGATTGCATCCGCCCTCAAAGACCATGTTTCCCATGGGCAGTCATATGCTCCTCAGGCTGCGGTGGTTCAATATCCCGGTCGGGGACTATCCAGTCTTCCAACCTGGGACTTCCATACAATCGGGTCCATGACTATAGCAGTCTCTGCGTAGACGAGCGGCCTCGACGTAGATGTAGAACACCGCCTAGGTCACGGTATCCACTTCATGCTAGGTACGTGTGCTTCACGGTGGCGCGGCATCCTGCCGGTCCACCTATCTCGAAGCTTCGTTACAGTCAGCCTACCCTGTCTTTCACGGAGCCTGATTGTAGGCTCTTCTTCCTGAACGAAGAAGCGCTGACTAACGTCTCGTATATATAGCGACCGCTATGAGTGCGCTGCTTATAAGGCCAGCTCCTCCACTTCGGCAACCCGCGGACAGCGTTCCATCTCTCCCCACATTCACCACACTCATGACCCCCAAGATGCAATATGGTACGGAGGATCGCTACAATCTATGATCGTTTTCGGTGGTTAACGCGATGTCATAGCCCGCCTCGGAAAGTCGGGGCTGAAAGTCTCGAAGATCATCCTCGGCTGCATGTCATACGGCTCAAAGGGATGGCAGGAGTGGGTTCTCCCTGAGGAAGAGGCTATCAAGCATATCAAGTTTGCGTGAGTGTTGCTAACCTTTCGCGCGGCGTATACGATTTCATTCATTCCATGCTCACCGCAATCACTAGTTGGGACCATGGCATCACGACCTTCGACACTGCCAACGTAAGCTATTTCGTTTCAGTCGACTAGTCGCAAATATGTTGAAGGGTCTCACAACCACTTCGTCCAGGTCTATTCGAACGGTCTTTCCGAGATCATACTTGGAAATGCTATCAAGAAGCTGGAGCTGCCTAGAGACGAGCTCGTTATTATGACGAAAGTGTGGAACATAACTACCTGCGCTTGAGAATGCGTCGTCTGAGGCATGTGTCCTGCACAGCTGTTCGCTCCGATCCCGAAGGAGTACGGCACGAATCTCGTCAGGGAGGGTAAGACGCCGGAAGATGTCGGCATCATTAACCAGAAGGGCCTCAATCGCAAGGTGCGTTCTTTAGACTTGTGACCGCTTGCTTCGTATCCACACAGGGCCTGTCTCCAGCACATCTTCGACTCCGTGAAGGCCAGCCTCAAGCGCCTGCAGGTCGATTACATCGATCTTTTGCAATGTATGTGATTGCTTGTTCGTTTCCGTAAAAACTAATAACTGATAATTCTTGGCACGTCCTTCAGGCCACCGCTTCGACTATGACACGCCAATCGAAGAGACAGTGAGTACTTTGGGTGCTCAACGGCTGAGCGCACGAATTCTGACAGCCGTGTTGTAGATGCAAGCTCTCCATGATGTCGTCCAAGCCGGATATGTGCGTTACATCGGCATGAGCTCCTGTTGGGCTTATCAATGTATGTATAGATGGTGTTACGTCATGCGTCCGTTTCGCTTACTTCCTTTCGCTAGTCCATGCCATGCAAAGTATGTCCTCGAGGTCGACTTCCTGAGATGACCCTTCGAAACTAAGCTATCTGCGGACTAGACTACGCCATCACGCACAACCTCACGCCGTTCGTGTCGATGCAGAACCACTACAGCCTCCTGTACCGCGAGGAGGAGCGCGAGATGATGCCCACGCTGAAGGTGTATTCGTCAGACGCTACGTTGCTGGTTTTGTCCACTCATTACTCCGTGGAAATCGGTAGATGTTCGGGGTGGGATCGATTCCCTGGTCCCCTCTCGGGCGCGGGCTCCTGTGCCGTCCATCTGATGCAGAGGCGACACTGCGCAAGAAGACTGACGCGTGAGTATAAGGGTTCAGGTGTGGAAGCATTGTGCTGACATCAGCGATGCAGCTACCAAACCGGCTATGATATCCCCTTCCTCCCGAGCCTTACGAGCAGGTTCGCGAAAATTCACCCCGGTTCCCATTCCATCGTTCTGACGCGTGCGAGTATAGGATTGAGGAGATCGCCAAGAAGAAGGGCGTCAGCATGGCTCAAATATCTCTTGCTTGGTGCTTGGCAAAGGAGCCCGTGACGGCGCCCATCATCGGTACCACGAGCCTCCAGAATCTGGAGGATATCCTTGGTGGGTCCTGACAATTATCGGATGCAATCTTTTTCACGGGCGTAGACTGAACGCATCGATCTATAGGGTCGCTTGATGTCAAATTGACGGACGAGGAGGTTAAGTATCTGGAGGAGCCGTACCAGCCTGTGCGGATCATCGGCCACGCATGAGTCTCCGATCGATGGGAGATGTGTTCTATGTACGATAGGCTACGCAGACAGGATGATGCGTCAAACTTCCTTTGAATGCTGCTCGAGCGTCGGTGGGATCAGACTATCTGTCCACTGCCGAAGACGGAAGTATGTTCAAGATATGCCTTTCAGAGAAACCACTGCGTTAGATGGAGTGGAGAGATACCGTACTGGAGACGACGCGTATGAGTGGAAGCCGGAACGCTGGCTTGGTCCCCTTCCAGAGACAGTGGAGAGGGCAGCGATCCCGGGCGTATATTCTCACCTGTAAAAGTCTTCGTCTTACTGCTCCGGTACGAACGCGTGCTGAAGTTGCGTACGACGCATTAGGATGACCTTTTTGGGCGGCGGGCGATCGTGCATGTGAGCGCTCTCCTTGTCTACTCATCTGTTTGTTGCTGTGATGCTCAATGTCTTCGCCGCCAGCGGGTTCACTTTCTCGCAGCTCGAGATGAGTGAGTTGTCATTCGGAAGTGCGAGCAGAGACAGCAGGCTGACGAGAGGAAACAGAGGTGGTCTTGTCCGAGCTGCTCGGGAACTTCGTTTTCGAGCCTTCGGACAGGCCCGTTTTCTGGAACATCTCCGGAGTCACGTATCTGAGCACCAGTGTTGGAAGCACAAAATCAGAATTGTGGTTGAACGTTAAGAGACGTTAGGTCCGCACTGACTCTCTCACGTCTTAAGGAGCTGCAATGCGGAAGGATTTGCTGTAGGTGACCTCCGTGTGGTCATCTGACTTCTGACTCACTGTTCCCGACCTCTGACCTCGCAGATTTGGCTGAACTGCGATTCGGAGCGTGGGCTTATTGTTTGATTGTGATCTTACATTCTTGTACATCCCGTAGAAGTAGAGTCTACTGCAGGTCATTCTCTGTACAAATGAAGCTCAAGAACCGCAACACCTTCTCCCAGACCTTCATAGATTGGGGCAGCATCTAGTGGTAATGGGAGAACAGTCGCCTGAGAGTGCGTGTGAGCACAAACGCGGTCCCACCTATCCAGTGCAAGCTTGTATGGGTGACGGGATGGACAACATTGTCAATTCTCGGCGTCGTGACACCTATACAGCACCGTCACTGCATAGGCAGGGGAGAAGCAGGAGAGATTTTGGATGGTAACTATCACACATTTGAGTTCGAGCCTATACGACCTGATACTCAGCATGACCTGACAAGCACTACCACGCGACCGCACAGCAGAGGCCGGCGTGATGTGTTGGCACCCTGAAGATTGGAGCAAGGGACAGCGAGAATCGCGTCCCAGAGGAGAGCATCGACCCGAGGCTCCTCGATGCGCATGCTCGTTCCTTACCGAGGCGTTCATGTTACGACCCTGGCACTGCGACGGATGCTCATCGAATGCACTGTGCATTTTCCAGTCTGGCTTTTGCCCTGGCGAGTGCTACGTCACTGTCAACATCACCGTGGGTATCCTGCCTGATCGAATGATACAACATCTAGTTGCCCGCGGCTGGTCTGTGGAGTCTGGTGCTGACGCGCGGATCTTTGTGTAGACGACCCCAGCCCGGGCTACAACGACTGCAACTCGTTCATCGCCTTTGCGGGTGGCTTTGCGCTCTCTTCGGAGATCCCCCAAAACGGCCCTGCGCTGAGCAAGCTCGTTTTCGGCAAGCCTGGTACCCCCGAGGCCCCCCCGCAGAGCTCGTGTCTTTCTATAGCCCGCGAATGAGATAGAAAGCAGCATCTATCACAAATCATTCCCTACACCAATAGAACACATGAATTGCACAACCTTCTGCCAACCTGGATCAAGTGCCACAGCGTCGGACAGATATGCTCCCTCCACGTGATGGGCTCGGGAGCGCTCACATTCGTCCAAAGCACACCTATACTCCTCGATGTCCAGGCCAGAGAAGAGATCCATAATATACCTTGCCAGGCCCTCCCCCTCGGCATCTGAGAGATCGGCTCCATGTGCGGGCACGCATCCATGGACATACAGGTAGCTCAGCCCATGGGGTGCACGATCCGACGCAGGAGCGGGAATCGAGTCAACGCCGACGATTGGACAGCTAATTAAGGGCAGCACGGCCTGTCGGAGGCTGGGACAGTAGCGGTAGAGGTGGTGGAGGGCGATGCTGGGAGTCGGCCTGGGTGGGAGGGTGGCACACTCGAGGATTAGCTCCTCGAGCTTCGACCAAGCCTGCACGAGCGTCCGGATGTCGGCGTCGTCGGCGCTCCAGTAGATTGTCTCTGTTGTAGAGAAGCAGAAGGAGCGCATTTCGCGCAGCGGTAGGATAGGTGCCACCAAGTCGCCCAGCTCGAATTCGTCCATCGAGGGGTCATCTCTGTCCGAGAAACCATGTATAGCGAGTTCGAGGTTCTGGAAGCTGCTGAGCGATACGGCAGTGCAGAACGACGCCAGGAGAGATATCACGTCGCCGACTGTAAGATGTATCTCTGGAGAAAAAAACACCGAGAGTTTTGCATGCGTTAGGGCTTGGAAACGGACGGACTGGAAAAGGGAGATGAGTGGGCCTGACTGTCCCCACAAAGACAGCTCGCGCAGGTTGTGGACTGCAAACGGCGGGGATAGTGCTAGCCATGGATCGTCTACTTCGGATACGTCGACGGACGCGATGTTGGACTTGGTGACAAGATCTCGAAATGCGGAAAGCTGGGAGAGGTGGTTGACAGTGACGCCACGGAGGTGATCGAAAGCAGTGAGTTCCTGGACGAGCGACGACTCCGCTTCAGGCGTATATCCGAGGTCCGTCGTGATGTCAGCCAAGAAAGGGGAGGATTCACGGAGTCTCCGGAGCAATGTGAGAATCGCGGGGCAGTCGTCCATGTAGTCGAAGCGGAAGGTTGCGATGCGCAGACTCGCCACGAACAACGGCGCAAAGACGCAGGCATCTGCCGGTGACCTCCCCAGCCATTCTATTCGGCACAGAGCAGGAAGGACGGACTTCCCTCCATTGTGCTTGAGGACATCTTGTAAAAGAAGGAGTTGAGCTTCGCGGTGCTCTTCCGAGTCCGAAGTCAAATCAAGATCTAGTTCGCGGATGTGGGCAGTATGCCATAGAAAGCGGTTCCATCGCTCAGGATCCTCATACTCCCGAGCAGATATAATCTGTGCAGACCAAATTGAGAGGTAAATCATGTCCATCTATCGAGGTCGTCGTACCTTTTCGAGATACTTCGGTTCTGCCTCTGGCCATCTGGGAATACGGACGTTCTGTGGAGCGAGAAGCTGCCACAAAGGAAGCAGTTCAGACATGTACCTCCATAGAAGGCGGACAGCCGGCTCGTGGAATGCACGACAAACAGTCGTACATCGCACTAGTTGTCGAGCGCAATTGGGTGGCAGGAACGTGAAAGTGGCATAGAGTAGGTCGCCATTAGCTAAGACTTGACTACAAGCTGGTAGCATATGCGAAATCAATTGTACTGGCAGCTCAGTCACCTGTTACAAAGGAATCCAACAGGCTGGAGGCTCGTACAGAGTCAAGATGACAGGAGTTGACGAAGAGTGGGTGAGGTGGCAGCAAGTAGTGTATATGGCAGAAATGTTTCGGGCTATTCTGCCGGCAGGTATGGCAGATATGGCAATTGCCGTGGTCGGCAGAAACTGGCGAATATTTAGGCGCCTCAGCGGAGAGACATCGAGTCTGGAGTATGTTTCCTTTGATATACATTCATCAGAGTGCCTGATGGAGTACCTTTCATACTTGGATGCTCACAAGCTGGCCTCAGATGAGTCTGCCCAGCAGGTGTAGCGCATGAAAAGCGGCGTAGGAGGCTCCTCATTGTTTTAGCGCCGGACACACACACCCATCAACAAGGTGAAACCAATCAGTACCGTCCTGAGTCCACAAAACGCGGTGTGTTTTCACAGCAATCATAAACTGGCACATCTCTAGGGCTTTTGTATGAGTACAGACATCGAAAGCTTATGGGAATTAGTCCCTACGATCGTTTTTCAGCATAAGCGCCCACGATATCTGCCAATATTTGCCAGCGTAGGCCGGATGGCAAAATGGCAATTGCCATTGGCAGAATGGCAGCGGCAAAATGGCAACATTCTGCCGCGTACACTAGCAGCAAGCCTCGGTTCCGGACCGGGCCGGTGACCGGGTCATTCACACCGGTCATTTTGTTTGAACCAGACTCGAGCGTCGGTCAATTGTTTTCTGTCGTCGCATACCATATCTGAATTCTCAATCTCGTGGCTTGTACGGATTACATTGCTAGGATATCATCGATGGCATGGATGAATATGCGTCCCAACTCACCACCATAGGCCAGCGAATGTCCACTGCCGGAAAACACGAGATGATCCAAAGCACTCCTCGTATACGACCGCTCTTCCGACGCTCCCCGCAAAACCGCTGCACACGATCCGTCGCTCGTTCTCCATAGCGTGACTACCCCACAAGACCCATTCGAGCCCGTTGCTATGTACCTCCCATCGGGCGACAAGCGAGGACATAAACAGTAGTCAGATCCCGGTCCCTCGAGCGACAAAGTCACCGTACAGCGCTCAGCGTCCCAGCAGTTGACCTTTCCGTCGCTGGTCGCAAGGGTACAAACTGTTTTTCCGTCAGAAGAGAACATGACCTCTTCCGTCGGCTTCTTCGTCGGCAACGTCGAACGCGTCTCTCCGGTCTCGAAGTCCCAGATGAACACGGACGCCTGGTCCCATGAGAAACAACCAGCGACAATGCTGCGGGATGCAGGATCAAACGCGGCGTCTAAGAGCGCGCCAGGGTGTCCACCGAGGACTTTCTGGATAGGGCCAGGGTCAGACTTCCGACCAACATCCCAAAGGCAGAGGTGGTGGCCGTTGCGTGACTCCTTCCAAGGCATGTGAAAAGCTAGGACCCAGCGCGCATCCGGGGAGAACAGGACGCGCACGATTCCCACCGCACCGCACTGCGGGTCCGCAAGCAGATAGCACTGCTGGAACGCGTCGCCCTCATGGCCAGGGCCAGACCAAACCCGTACGGATCCATCGTCCGAGCCAGTAGCGAGCCACTCGCCCGTGCTACTCCACGCACAGCTTCGGATGCGAGCTGTGTGGCCGTCCAAAGTCGCGGCGAGCACGGCATCGCTCGCCAGATCCCACACTTTGGGCGTGGTGTCGCCGCCGACCGACAGAAGGTATCGGCCGTCCGGTGCAAAGGCGAGGTCGTCGACACACCGCTCATGTGCGACCCAGTCCCAGACAGCGGTATGGCTCTCCGCATCCCAGACTATGATGGTGGAGTCGAGCGATCCGCTCGCGAACCATTCGCCGTTGGTAGAAGCGACTAGCACTGATACCGCCTCCTCGTGAGCTACCGTATGACCTAGGAGATATCGGCATTAGCCTGAGCCGTAGACCTATAGAGTTCATCTCATACTGAAGGAAGATACTCACTGTCACTCCTGTCAATCGGATTTAGAATTGCCTTGAACCGTTTCGCGCGTAGAAGTCCCGCAAACATTTGATCGATTCTGGAGGTCCAGAACCGTCGCATGTAAGATCTACGAGTATACGCTGTGGCCCAGGCTCGTACCATGACGATGCACGGTGATGGGATGCTCAACACGACCCCTTCGAGCTCCTGGCATACTTCGGTGGTGATATCGAGGGCAAGAAAGTAGTAGAGCTTGTGTAGCCAGTCGGACTGGATTCTGATTGTAACAGTGGGTCCCTTACAGGGTGCCGGATCAAGAAGACGGATGTGTGCAAGAATCTCGATGATTCTTGTGAAAAGACCCCTTCCATAGCCTTGAGATCGCTGCCAGCGACAGAGTGTTATGTCTACCACGAGTGTGTCAAGAAAGGGAAACTTTCCAGACAAGTGAAGAGGCGCTGCACGAATAACAAATGAGGTGTGTTATAGAATCAATTACGAACCATTGACGGCGTACCTGCAGTATTGTCCTTCCAACCATCGTAGCTGAGATCCACGTACCACGCGAGATGCTCGACGGCATTCTGCGATATCTCCGTCAGAAACGTGGCTGCTCTCCGATCCGTTACACCCTTCTGAAGCGACATCAGCCTCAGTAATGCTGTACCTTCTGCGTGAAACAGCAGGTGAAGCTCACTATGGTTAAGCGCTTGTAATGGACCGTCTCGGCCAATCGCTGTCGTGATACACTATCCGCTGCACTGGTTTTTCCTCCACCGCTGCAACTTATGCAGGTCAAATCTTGCACGCGAGGAAAGGCGAGAAGGAAGCGTCCTAGGTCGGCACAACTGGGAAAGAACACGCCACTGATGGTCAGGCAGTTGATATGGGTTCCATGCGCTCTAAGCCCCAATAAGGCCGAGCGGTGCATCACAAGCGTATACCTGTCTTCAGAGTAAGTGTCCTTCAAACCCCAATAATGGAGGTTTGGCAGCCTGGTCAAGAGAGGCAACGGGGACCACCCCCAACAGCTCAGGGTAGTCTCCAGGAGATATTGTGACCTGCTTGATAAGCGGAGGAAGCCATGGACGAGCGTCGAGAAATTCCGAGAGGTTTTCGAGCTGCTCCTTCCTACGAATATAGATATGCACGAAGATATGGCGACGACTGCGGTCCAGAAGAGCGCGACAGGACAGCGAAATGTTGCAAAGAGTCCACAGGTCGTTGCAAAACATGTCAATGATGTCTTCAATGACATCTAGTGGGAGGAGAGTCGGTTTGGTGTTGGAGGACATGATGGAGGGGACGAAGGAGTGCAGCTTGGACTCCAAGCCTTCTGCCTCGGGTTGTCCGTGTGGGCAACCCGGCGCGTACAGCCGGACGTGTCACGTGAGTACCAAAATTGGACTTCCTACATAATAGACCAGTCAATTATCTGACGTCGACCCCTTCCACTACCTCAGAACCGTTATTTCGATGCACATGTCTCGAAGTTCACTCTCTCATCCGTCATCTTCGTAATAGACAAGACGAATTCCGATATCACTCTCCATGTTGACTTCAGGTAGAGATCATGTTGAGCCTATATGATTCTGACGACTTCGACGCCAAGGCCCGCCTGACCCGTAAATGCCATGGCACTGCTTCCGACATTGGCAAGATCATCGCGGAAACAGGTAGCCAGGAATGCGACCTCAGCGAGAGAGCAGCAGTGCGAGCATCGCAAGGCCTACACTCCATGGCGCACCGTGACGGAGGATCTGTGTCCGTCAGTCGACTCGGATGAGAGGACAGAATGGAGGGAGTTGCGCGTGCGGACCGACTGGGCAAACGCGCGAGGTACCAGAGTCCAGTAATCTGGGTAGCAAGAATGTACGCATGAAGTGAGCAGGTACATGCTCGTGGAAGTATAACACGCATTGTTGCAGCAACCAGTGTCGGCGTAAGGTACGCAAGCTTTGATGCGTTCTCATATACCCGTAGCATCCAAGCCTCCCCGCGCCCACCGCTCCCGATTGATGTCCACAGTGCCTCGTCCTTTGAATGAGACGGCCCGGTCGTTCTGCAGCGAGAGGACAATGTAGGTCCCTATCGGCCCATCCGAGTCTCTCTTCCCGCCCCCGCCGCTCCGAGTCAAGGAACCTCCCATCGGACATAATACGTTTTCTGCAACACGTAGCTAGAATTATTATGGCCGACGTCAGTCAACGGTCGCTAAGAATGTTCAGAAGCAAGTCATACACGTGAAGACAGCAGGGAAGGGCGATATCGTAATTGACGTCCCTGGGGAGGAGCCGTTCAGGCTGGAGTCGAGGAGGCTCACCCCCACTGTTCTGCGTTGGATGCCAAGGCAGCGGAGGGGGAGCCGATGTGTTCGGATTTGCGCTGACGCTAGGTTGCTTCAATCACCCATCCGGGAGAGATCGTTGCGGGGAAATGACACTATATAGCCCCAAACCGGCTGCGCACTGTAACAGTGCTCTATCTACATGGAGTGTGGCGGATACTCGTCACCTTTAGAACGAATAGAGTAGACGTATTCGGTGACCTTCAACCACGCAGGGTCGATGCGCAGAGCGTCCGGTGATCCCTCCGGGACGGCCCCATCGGTTTGCTCGAGTGCCTTCTGGTGCGTCTCGGGGTTCAGACGCGGGAACAGCCTGAGCAGGTACCTCGCCAGAGCCTCCACCTCCTCATCCGAGATGCCACCCCGCGATGTGAAGATGCCTTGAGTTGAGAGGGATCCCAAGCGATGGGACGAGCGGCCGGGGGGCGTTGGGAACGACTGTGCGCCGATCCCAGGGACGGAGAGAACAGGCAGCGAGACCTCCTGCAAGTCCGGGCAGTGGCTGTAGAGATGCGAGAGGCCATCGACAGGTACGGTCGAGGTCCGATCGAACGCACCCGCGTCGAGGTGGAGATGCGTCAGCCTCGGCCATGCCCGTGCGAGCGCCTCAATGTCCGCGCCGTCCAGCCTTGCGAGAGGATTGTCGGAAGAAAAGCGGAAGGAGCGAATGGTGCTGAGACGGAGGATGCGGGGCAACAGGTCGCGCAAGAAGGGCAGGTGGTCGGGAGGCGGGCCCAGGCTACTGAATGTGCCGCTGATGGTCAAGGTCTGGAGATCGCTGGCGGACACGGCGCCGGAGAGGTCATCGAAGAGCGCGGTGATGCCCGCCATCGTTGTTGGTATCGCTGTATGGGCATATATCTGAATGGTGAGTTCCTCAAGGGATTGGAAGCGGGTAAGCCTGAACAAGCTGGCAAGGTCGGCCTCGGCATGCCCTCCCACAGATAGCTTGCGGAGGTCGTGGACCGTTATCGGCTGGGACACCCCAGCCCACGGGCCAATCGCATTCACGATGCGAAGTGACCGTAGGTTTGGTTTCGTGACGAGGGCGCAAAAGACTGAGAAATCTGCGCATAGAGATATGCTGACGTCGCGGAGCCCGTCGAAACCGGCCAAGACTTCCCGTACAAGCGACGGCGTCGGCTCGCCATCGATGTTGAGCTCACGCAGATCCGGAGAGGATTCGCGCAGTTTGCGAATCGTAAGAGCGTCTTCGGGAAACTGGCCGTTCATGGGCGAGAAGAGCACACACTGTACGGTGGAGGTGAGGAAGGGGAGGAGTGAGCCATCGGTATGTATCCTGCTTGTCCAATGTAGAGAGCTTAGCAGGGGCAGAAAGGTCTTTCCACCGTTACGCGCGAGGACGGCCTCTATGAGAATGCTGTGCGCCTGGTTCACTTGGGGCGAGGAGCCTGACCCGTGATGTAAGTTGCGGACGTGGTTAGCGTGCCAGAGAAAACGCTCCCATCGCGTCGAGTCGAGGTACAATTGGGCGAGGATGACCTGGGAAGGACTACATGAATTAGTTATAAAATCTACAGCATCGCCGCTTACATGAATCAGGTACTGAGCACACCCAAATACGTCTATATGACGGGGGACCTTGAGTTCATGGGGTGCGAGGAGATGCCATAAGGGAAGCATCGAATATAGGCTCCTCCACAAGACGCGAACGACAGGCTGATGGAAGGCTCGACACACAGTAGCGCATGGAGCCAGATGGCGGTCTTGAAAATCCGTGTCGAGGGGCACAAATGTGAAAGTAGCGTAGAGGAGATGAGGATCGGTGAGTACTCGCGCAGAGGGTGATAGTGCTACGTCAGACATTGTGCACCGACGGGTCGTCTGAGTGCAGGGGCTTTGGCGGTGAGATTGTCACGTAGTAGGTGGAGAGTTCCGAGAGGGAACGAATAGAATCACGTTCGGCCTAGTGCAAACGCGTGCCGTGCAGTGTCATTACAACAGACTTTATATAACGGAGTCAAGTATGCCTTTATATGGTCAAATTCGAGCGCACCTGTGGCGAGGGCGATAAGGACCTGTGGCGCTGGTTCCGCGAGCTTACCATGATGTCGACGCCAATACACTGCCGGCTAATAACACAGTCCCGAGAGAGAACAAATGCCATCATCCGTCGAATGCTTTTCACTGCGGGTGCACTTCGAAGCTGTAGAGCCTGGCGCTCGTTCCCTCTCCCGCCGTATCGGCTGCCATCGTTCTAGATCTACCATACTATCCCACGCACAAACTTGCAAAGGATTTGGAAGTTACACCCCCCTATACGAAGCTCTCTTGCCCCGTTAGCATTCAAAATTTCTAAGCAGGTGTGAATATGTCCCATTGACCTTGCTGCAAAATCTTGAAAGATCTGAGTAAGGGGATGGAGGTACGGCATGCTTCCGGTGAGCAAAACTCGTCAAACCCGCGAGTTCGCAACGTAATGCAAAGGATCAGTAACGTGCAGTCACAGCGGCGTATTTGAGCTCCGCTCGGCACCATGATCTGTGCCAGTCAACGTCCGCGTACATCCTCCGCTCGCTTATTACCGGAAGTTGAACCCGTCACCTCCTCATCGCTCCCTTTGTCACGCCCTTTATTGTATTGTACAGTTGTAATTCTCCTCGCCTCTGAATTAAGAATCGGGTGACCTGCGTCAGTATTATGGTTGTTTCAAAGCTGACTTTTGGTTTTTTGGGATGTTTTGAAGGCATAGATCAAGAGAGATCTACATAGTAAGGACCAGAAGCGCTCTTACACATGAGCCCGATAGACACCATTTCTGGAGTATGCTTCCTTTCGCTCATCCCTTGGCCACCGAGATTTGAAGAATGTGATTATTATATGTCATATACACATCTACCAAAAATGAAGCCAAACGGACAGGAGGTCGTACTTGAAATCGTGTTTTGCACCACCATGTAACATTTGCAGGTTCGTGCGTGGGATAGTACCTTCTCCATCTGATACCGCTCGTTTGCCTAGTTTATATCAGTTACTTACGTACATATACTTGCCATCCGAGTCATTTGGACCATGTGTCCTCGGTCTGTCATTACTCATAGACTCGATTGCTTGGTAAACTCCCCTACATACACATCTGGTGTATATACCCTACTGAACGAACCTGTTTGTTCTAGGCAGAATCGCAAGTCTTTGAACCTGTCTACTATCCCTCACTGAGGGGTTTTGCAACGCCAGGACTGATGGCAACTGCCTCTCCAGCGGCAGTGATTTATCTATCCCAGAAACTTCAAGCATCGCTAAGACTAACATCGGTCTTATCTCATCCAAGTTTTGTAAAATCCGGTGGAGCTGTGTTCTGAGCACCTACGTGAAAGGGTGGTTTTGCAAAAACCATAGGCGCCTGCAAGAAACGGCGGCCCTAGGATGTTTGCCCATCCACGGACCTGTCGGGGATAATTTCTGGAATAGAAATATGCCCAATCATTTGTTCAGAAGAAGTTTGTGTTTTCTCAGTGAGGGACAAAGAGAGATCTGTTAATCAAGTTGGGCGTCTACTCCCTTAGAGCAGCGCTCTCGGGTCGCATGTCCCCCTTTCTTAATCTGTTATCGCCCAAGTGACAGAAGCCGATCCGGTTGTGTTCAGTGGAGTCGAACCGGACCGGCGACACCGGAGCCCTTGCGACGAGAAACACTCAATTATGTAATGGCACAAGAGCTAAGGCTGGCATAGAGGACTTGCTTGCATTTGTTCCCTTCGCAGCGCCGTTCTCCCTGCTCGATGTCAACTCTGTGCTTACCTCACTCTTGCTATGTCGCTCCGGCAATGGGACTGTCATCCCTATACCCCAAAGTAGTCCTTGAGTTACGGTATGCGGGCGTGGCGGACAGAGACGAGATCCTTCGAGGTACTACTCCGGGAGACGACCCGGTCACAGTGAACCTCGTTTAAGCAGTATATCGCGAACTCTCTTGATCACGAATCCGGTTTTGCTGCGTCGTGTAGACACCATGGGCATCCCCATGCCGTTCAGACCGCCCGAGGTTATGTACGAGAACCAAGAGCGACTGTCTTTCTACGACCCCAGACGCTCTATCCAAGCGGCAAGATTCCTGAAACGTGAAGTTCACGCAGTGTCCGGCTCATTTAAACATGGATTTTTGCCCTCAATCGCCCGCGCGGTCTTGGAAACCCTTGCAAGCGAGCACTGCTGAGACAATCCGTGTATCTCCTCGGTCACAGTCGCGGTCGCCCGTCCAAGCAGGATTCCTTGGCTGCAAGTCCGCCGAGACCGACTCTCCCGAGGCATGGATCTTGTCATTCTTAAAATCTTGAGCTTACTGAATATTTCACCACGCCTCTCTATGCCCTCGTTGCAGATGTTGTAGATCTTGCCAGCATGACCTCGACACAGTAAATGAGGAGCAACGAAGAGTTCCCTTCTTACACTCAGCCATACCCCGGGAAGGTCAGGCAACTGCAACGGCGTCATACCTGCCTTTGTTCTCTCTTTCCGGCTACTTTGCCGGCCATCGCGGCCAGACCGCGCGGGCGCGTTCCCGACTATCTCCGTGACTCACGACGCAGCCTTTGCAGAGGCTGGTCGACGGGACGTTCGCGAAGGACGGGCAGAGTATACTGGAGCAAGGCTTGTTGTACGTTTCTTCTCCTGGTTCTTTCTTGATATCACATGCCCATATATTCTTCATACACTGTTCGTCTTGATGACAGAATTCGCTCTGGAAGCCACATACGTGCTGCATTGACAGAGCTGTGTGGTTCTGGCAGACGTCTCCGGACAAGATTCATCCTCCCCGCCCACGCCCCTCGCACAGGCGGACACTCTCCTCGCGCGCGCCTGCCACGACTTGAGTTCGAGTCAGGTGGTACTCCTCGGCATCCCACTTTCGTCTGCCATTGTCTCTTGTGGACGTCGGACCGCTCGCGCCCGACGTCCACGCGCGGTCTCGTATACCGAGGTGGCGGTCCGACTGGGTCCCACCAGTACTGCCATCGTCCTCGTCACCCTCAAGCAGGCTGCAGACGTGAGGCAGAAGCGCTCCGATGCGGCGTTCGAGACACTCGCTTTTATCGCTATACGAGACATCTGGCCCGCCGTCGACGTATGTCTGTTGGCGCGTGAAGAGAAGCAAAAGGACACTTGTGAAGTACGCCCGGTAGTGTACCTCCTCCACTTCACAGAAATGAGGCGGTGTCTGTCAACTCCAAACAATTGGGACATGTACCAATTCGCAAAAGACCTTGTGTGCTGTGCACCGACAATGGTCCGGGGTTTGTGATCAAGGTCCCTGTGCTCCATCCTACTGCGCTGAGAATCTGACGATCACTTCGCGTCGGCGACGGGATTGTCCATGCTCAGACGGCAGCTCCGTTGGGTCGAAGCGACTGTCGTCGCAACGTTGTTGTTCGCGGCTGCGGATGCGTCTTGCCGGGACTCCTTTCTCCGCTACCTTGTCTCCCCAGAGGCCGTGAGTCATGTCATACACGACATATGCAATCTCACTGCGCTGTTTGCGCTGCCACTCTTCTTTGCTCCGTCATCCTCGATTGCTTCATGCCAGAGAGGGCGACACTAACGTATATTCAAGGCAAGCACACTGTCCAGAGTCTCGATATCGTAGAGGAACTGATGCCTCTCATGGTCAGCGCACGGGCTATAACAGACAAGCGAACTTCTATGACTGATTGGAGCTGAGACGTCGAGTGGGAAACGCAGATTACACAGGTGCGCCTACACGTCGTGCACGTTGTGCGTATGGTGCCTTGAAGCCGCTGCACCGGCAGAACGTTTCCCAGGCCCTGAACAAGACTGTGGGGTATAGGAGAACGCCGCGAGCGGCCATCGTCAGCGTCACTGGTCATGGACGGGCGGAGTCTCGCAGTGCCATACCCTGCTAGATGAAACGTACCGCATACTCGGAGAGCGTCCCACATTGGAGTAGTGAATCAGAGCATCCGGTTCATGCGTCGTTGCGGCGTGGGTGCTGAGAAGGGATACACACCCATGACGCCTGTGTAGCCTCCTACGTTTGCTCTGAGTCTGGCCTGCCTATCAACATGTTGCGAGCCGAGTTGGCTGTACCTCCCTCGGCCTTGGCAATCGGCCATAACAAGCCAATCTGTAAGAATCCAAGCCGATAGAAAGTTGCAGCGACCCTCACCAGGATGCGTTGCTCCCCTAGACTACTCCGGATTCATCCGAGTCCGAGGAATATGAGATCCGCCTTTGCCGGCGGTAGAGCCGCAGCCGAGCGTGAGCTTCTCCCACGACGATGGCACATTCATGTTCTCGGCAGAGCCGGCACAGTTCACGACCACTTTCCGAGCTCCATGCTCGTTTCACTAGTTGCTGGTGAACTCAAGTCGTCTCCAGAAGAGCATAGAGGCTCTCATGCCTTCACATAAAGGGGCAGGCATATTGCGCAATCATTCCCTGGGTGAGTGATGTAAGTTGCAGACGCATCGATGGAGATGTTGACAATGATTCAGATACTTCTCGAAACTCGATGTTCGTTCTCACAAGCCGAACGCACCGAATACCGAACAGTGCGCAGCAGTCGCGATAGCCATTCTTCTCTGCGATATGGAGTCCACGTGATGCGTCTACTCAACTGGTCCTGCATGACACTGACATAGGCTCTCAGCCAGCTGCTTCGAGAAGTCCTCTGCATGCTCGCGCAATCGGGCTCTGCAAGTACAGCGTACATTTCCCGCAAACACTGCGCACGGCACAGTCCGGACAAGAAAATCCCATGGTCCGCCTGACGTCTAAAAGATTGCTATACCGGCAACCCACTTTTCACGCCTTTCCCGGTTATGATGGGACTATTCACGAGCAAATACTACCGAGCCGCCATACAATTCAGTACACTACCCACGCTTCAGAGACTCGGGCCAACAGTCTTGCGAAGCTTTTCTCGCGGTCGCCATTTCGGGTCGTTGGAGGGTGCCGTCCCCTTTAAGCGTCCCACCCCCTTGGTACGAGCCGGATTTACTTCCCTCCTCCGTCCTTGCTGATAGCTCCGCGCTGGTCAGTACCCTCCACTTGCGTCTGGACACCAGCGAGTCGTCAGCCCTGAGGACGAAGAAAGCATCCTTGGCCGAGATCGCTCGTTCGGTTGAAGAGGTTGTGCACATTCTAATCTTATTCCTTGATTATGAGGTGTGTTTCCCGGGAAAACCTCTCTTGGCTCGGCAAATTGACAAGGGACTTGTACCTTCACAAGGCGTCGCATATCCCGCCCGACATGGATATCGCTATTAGTCGTCCCTCCGATACTGCCGTTTCTCCTTCCCTTCGCGCTTACGCGGGCCGATCCCGTCAATGTCACTCTGGACGATGCTTCCTCGTCGATCGTGTACTCTCCGGCCTCTGCGTGGCACGAGTCGTCTGTGCCGTGCTCCACTTGTCTTGCCCCCAGCCCGTCGATCGCTTTTCAAGGCACCTGGCACGACGGGACCCACATCATACCCACCGAGGACACAGACGATTCCCCGAACAACGCCAACAATGTAGTACAGCCTACACCAACACCCTCGAACGCACCAGGAGGCGATGGAGATATGGGAGATGGCAAGAAGGGCGATACGGACGATGGCAAGGACGGAGACGATGTCGATGCGAAGGATAAGGACGGCGGCGGAGATAGTGACAAAGGGAAGGGCAAGAAAGGTGCTGACGATGGAAAGCGGAGGCGGAGGCATGACTCGGCGGGATCCCACTTGCTTCGACGACAGAATGCTGCTAATGATGCATCGTCCAATCCGTTTTTCACTCCCAACTTCGATAGTGATGATGCCGGATTTGTGGACAATCCTGTCTCGGCTCAACTTAACTTCACCGGTACGTGCACCGTGTTCCTTGCAGATCACGACTGTCAACTAGTGTTTGCGTCATCGTATCATGCTAAGCTAACGACGGCTCACAGGGTCTGCGATATACGTCTACGCCCTCATCCCGCTCGGGCTCGCCCAAGGCAACTCAACGCCGACGTTCATGAATCTCACGTTCCTCCTGGACTCGCACCCAGCTGGGACCTACCAGCATACTGGTACGGCGTCGGCATCCGGATTCTTACCATCGCAGCCGATATTCGGGCAAACCGGTTTAGCCGAGGCGCCTCATAACCTAACGATCCAAATCGGGCCAGACTCTGTCCTACTGCTCGATTACATCGTTTATACGAAAGAAGAGCTCGGGGACGGGACAGACACTACGAGCGCGGCAGCCTTTTCTACGTCAAGCAGTGCCCCTGGGGTACAAGAAACGGGTTCAGGTACTGGGAGTTCAGCGCCAAGCGTTGGTCCCGGGACTTCAAAGTTGTGCGTATAATTCCCGCTTATATTTCGGGACGCTGCTATTCACTCACGAACCGAATTATCCTATTCGCTGGCGGGTTCTAATATCTCACTGGTTCTTGGTTCGCTCCTTCGTTATGTACTCCACTGCCTGAACTTGCCTCACCCTCTTCTTACTCTCCCGTCCGCCCACTACCACGCCGTCGCTACCCCTCCCCCGCCGCAATGTCCTCCAGACCTGCCAGCCAGCAAAAATCACATAATATTGCGACCTTCGCAGGTGCAGTCGGCGGCAGCGTCGGTCTCCTCGCCGTTCTCGCATTATCGTTGGCCATCAGTATCTACAGGCGAAGAGTGCGCGCGCGACGTCGCGACAGGCGTCTTCGGCGGGCACGAAACCACTCTGATCCCAATTTCGATGGCGAGTCTTTCCACACCGACGCCTCCGAGGATAGTCCGCCCATGCAGGGTCCTACACCGTTCATTCCTCGATACTTCCCTGGCACCGTTATCCCTACTCGTCCGCCACCTTATTCTCCATCTGCCGATGTGACAACGGCATTGCTATCGTCGACAACCCCTGCGTGGAGTCCTGTGCAAAGCCCGTCGCCAGGGGAGGACAGGTCGTACGCCGATCGACCACCACCAACACCACCTCCTCTGTCGGACGAAGACGTGGACGACTTCTTCGCCCCGCCATCGTTCGCTGCCGCCATATCCTCTCCAATACCTGCGATCCTTGCAGGTTACTCGCCAGTACCTACATCGGTACCCGTGAGCACGTCGCCAGTCCCACGGCATACGAATGGGTCGGGTTCCAGAGGGGTGTACGCTACAGACCCACCGCCGACGCGTTCGCGCGCCAGCTCCGATGCGGGGTCGCTACATAGCGGCTACTCCGACCGGCCACCATCGTTCGCTTCGCAGGCGCCGCCCTTGATACCCCTGCCCGCGCAGAACGACGGCGATGCGGAAGAGATCACAGTAGGGGAGGAGACCCGACAGCGGATATCTGATGGAGATCGCGCCTCCGTACGGTCTACGCGGTCTCAATGATGCATCACTCGTACATTACACGCACACACTATTGGTGAGTCTTCGCTCATTGGTGTTCGTACCCCTTTACGGCGTCATCGCCGTCCCCGGCACAGAGGCTGCCACGCTCTGGTGTGTTCGTGTGCTCGTGCGCTCCGAACACGTTGGTGCCTTGTCCCGTGGACAGCGATCCGGCGCGTCGGGCCAGCACCGACGCACGCCTGTATTTATGCCCCAGCGTCCGGTGTAGCGCAGCGGCGCGAGGCATAGGGGCGTGGAGGAGCGTGGAAGCGCTTACCCCAGAGTCGGGCTTAGTTTCCCACTATTGGCGCTCTCCGTTCCCTGCTCGCGCAGCGCGTTCCCAACGACTGCCCTGCCTCCGCTCTTGCGCCTTCCCACGGCGGATCCGGTGTGGTTTGTGCGCTCACACGAGGGGGCAGCCTGTCCCTGCTTGCTCTCAGACTGTCTAACGGACCTTGCTGACTTCCGACGTTCCTGAATTGCAGATCCGCTACATTGACTGGACCGCGTGAGGCGCCGCAGGACTAGCCGCTCTGAGTCTGGGGCCAGGTACGGACGGTGTTCACGAACTACTGCGCGCGACATTCAACGCACGACTCGCGAAGCCCGTGCTCTGAACTTCGTCGGTCGTCCTGTCGAGCGTCGATGCCCCGCACGAGTCATACCTCACATTTACGACAGATGTACCTTACTAGAGCTCGCATTGCTATTGTCGCATCTCAATTACCTCCGATTAGCATGGCTTGTGTGTATGTAACATATTTCTATGGTACACCGTGGGTCAGCACGTGGGCGGCATGGGACTGCATATGGGATGTCCGGTATGACCGAGCCTCGCTGCGGGCATTCGAACCCACAAAGGGAACGCTGTATCATGTTCGTCATAAGTGGTACTTCGGGCCTCGGAATACAGATCGGCGACTGTACATTGCTATTGAGCATCATGTCACTCGTTTGGAGCGGTACGCCGTGCCTCAGCATCCGTATAGAAGTGTTTGCTCAGGTCGATGGCGTACGATGGCATCCGACGCTCTTACTCAACACGCATCATGGAGGCATGAGCTTGACACTCCGAAACATCCTACGCGACCTCACGTTGAGGGGAGATGCCGGTATGCCGGAACGTATGGCCAGCGAGGACGGAAATCACGGAGTGCCTATACAGGTATTCGTCGGCTCCGCCTGGGGCTGTAGTGCACTCTGTCACAAATTAAAGGCCATCACAAGGGAGGTAGTACGGTGCGCGGACGGGCCGCACCCGCAGACATGTGAGTATGCTTCTTCTGGATTCGTATGCCTCCCCGGCGAACCCTGGGTCATGCCCGACTGTCGGCAGCACTGATAGAAGCAGTATGAGAGATTTATTGCTTCCAGGAGAAGTTATACGGACAGTAGGCACAGGACGGCTGCCGAATGCTCTAGTCATCAGCCAATTCGAAGCCTTCCGCGGATAAATCTAGGGTCATATCCGGTTAACGACTTCGTCGTACAACCAAGAAGTGTATTGGAACCGCGTAAGGATGATGTGTTTAGGAAGATAAACGTGTAGCATACCTCTTCAATCCTTCAGGTGAACAATGCCAAGAGTGAACGTGGTTGATCTTCGACGACTTCTCGGTTACATGCTCTTGAGCTCCACTGCATGTATGAGCGGTGCCTACTTCTCGAACACAGAAATATTCATCATCCTATGATTGCATCGAACGTCTGTCCGCCTGAATTTCGGCACTTGGTGTCCAAACGGCGGACTACGAAAATGACACAGCAGGCAGACCGCGGAGGAAAGGAAGAGTATGGATGTCAGGTGCATGCTAACTTCCTGACAGTCCTTACAACTCATGCGCGTCGGAGTAGTGAAATTTGCTTAGGTAGTCGAAAGAAGGGGTTTTCTCGCGATGAGCAAGGCCTTTGTTTCAAGTTGTGGGTCGCTTCGAGTCGCTTGTTCCGCTCCATCGGCCCGGGCGTGAGAAGGGCGTTGAATAGCCACGAGGCACTCGGCACGTTCGGCTCTACACATGGGCGCTCAGAGATATTCATACTACTACGTCTACATGTTGTCCCGGAACTCCACTGTGATCCTGGACGTCAACCCGGCCTCTTGGGGATTCCACGAGAACATTACCTCCAGTGAGGTGGGAAGACTGAACAACTAGAGGATTGGACCTGACTGAATCCTGCGTCCTGCCGAGTCCCAGGACCAACAGGTTTCCCGTTGCCGCCCTACATCCTACAGAAGATCATCTTGCCATCGCGAGCACTATCTAGGGAAAACTGTCTTCCAGCAGGAAACTTGCGACACCACCTTCCTCATACAGAGTCACCACTGAGAGAAGAGCTCTTCGAACCATTGGAATTCCGTAAGTTTTTCGCGGTGCTTGTTGCCAAATGACTACTGTTTCACACGAGTAATGTCGCGTGCCACCACAGGAAGCATGCCTCTCAAGCGATACACTACGTCTGTAGACGGAACGATTCCAGTCCCTGCTCTACTCTACGAAGACGAGGCTTTGTTGACGTCTCAAGACAACGTCGGAATTTATGACGGGTATGTATCTGATAGATCACATCGCGCTGGTCGATTGCGATAATCTGCAGCATCTCATAGTTCTTACCTGGCAGTCAGCAGAAGGCACCTCATCATCAAGCTGGTACAATATACGCAACTACCCATCGCTTGTTCTACATCGATGTAGCCCACCCACTCTCCCGGTCGTTCTCCCTTGATCTAGCCCACGTAGCGCGAACAGAGCACTATGCCGGCTTGTTCACCAGCTCGCCCAAGGTGACCCTTTACTTGCACCCGCTACCTCCTAAACCAGAGGCACCTACCCAGATAGGACTGGTTGACCAACCTCCATCATCGCTAGCCCCTGATGGACTCCAGTTCTGGGAATGCGAAGTCTGCAGCAATCGTAACCCTATCGGGCTCACGTCCTCGGCGTCCATGGTCTGCGCACTGTGTGGCGTACCAAGGTCCTCCGTGAAAGCATCTATAGACATGCCTTCAAGGCGAGCGCCTCTGGTCTCGCACTCGCTGTCGACCTCCCTCCCATCCTCCTCGCTCAACCTCTCTGCATCTCTCGGCCTCGGCAAGCTTAGTCTATCGAACTCTGCAGCACCTTCGCCACCAGCCGCTTCACACAGCTCTTCAGATGAGGTTGCGTGTTCTGCATGCACCTTCCTCAATAGTCCTCTTCTCCGAGAGTGTGAGATATGCGGCACTCCTCTACCGCGCAAGCCCACCTTGTCGTTCTCCTCAGAACCTCATCCACCAGCCAAATCCGCACCAGCGTCGCGCTCCGCTACTCCAGCCCCTGTCGATGAGGACTCGGATGAAGACACCGACTCGCCTGAGAAGCGGATGATTAGGCTGAGTTTCCGGAAGGGAGGCGACAAGCCGTTTTACAGCGTGTTGAGGAGAAGTCTCCTCGGCAAGGCGTGGGAGGTAAGCATGTTCGAGGCTCACTGTGACCCAATAGTCACCGCCTTTGCTCGGCACAGAGCAAACAGGTTGCCAAACCTCTGGCGTCGGCATCCAGGGGAATCGGAATCAGTATGTCCACTGGAATGACAAGTCTCAGCTAGTTGACTTGTCCTTACTCCATCCCTTTCTTTCAGGCGGCATCCTTCGGACCGTAGAGACTACCGCCTACGCCTCCCAAACCAACATGGAAGACGCCCTGGCCGACCTCGAGGCGCTCATGATCAAATGGAAAGACATGGTCAAGCTCGCCCAAGACCTGAATGAGCGGCTCACCGCCGCATCTACCGTGGCCCAGCCGCTGGTAACTCCAGGCATCGGTCTGCCCTCCTCTCCGTCCGCATCCGGCCTTAGTGCTGCCGCCCCCGGAGCTGCGAGCAGGCAAGTAGTGGAGCCTGAGGAGGCGACCTTCATCCGGTCGTCGCTCGCGCAGCTCGGGCTGCAGATGGCGAACGCACCCGTAACACAGGACATGGTTCATGACGAGCGCAAATGGTACGAGGAACTTGCGAAAGAGCTCGCTGGTATCCTAGAGGGTACGGGGAAAGGTGGAGAGGGCATGATGCGGAAGCGCGGGATCATCGCCCTCGACGAAGTGTGGGGTGGCTGGAACCGCGCCCGAGGAGTTGGTGAGTGCACGTCTCCATTTGCCTACATCTCTGGAACTCTGTCCCTCTGGGCTTGCTTCACGTCCCGGCCCTACCCTTGACGTACGTCGGTCAGGGTGTTGGCGTTCGCAGCTGCGTGCCGGCTTCTTTCGATTGTTTCTGTCGCCTTCCCTTTAACTTCTGACCTTTCTGGTTTTGCCGTGATGTTCTCGGAGACGGGACTGTCCCAGGTCATCACGGCACTAACTCAGTGATTCGTTGCAGCGTTGATACCGCCGGCGACGTTCCTACAAGTCCTCCCGCATCTGCCCAACTTCACGCTTCCTCCAATCCGCATGCGTACCTTCGCGGCGTCCGGTCTCTCAGTACTCCACACTCCTCCGTACGGAAGCGCAACGTTCGCCTCCAGACTGGTTGGTGTGCTAACCCTCGGTGCGTGCATCCGGCGACATCTTCGCCTCCTTATGCTAACCGCCCGCTTATCAAATCCCGGATCTGTCATGATTAACCATTGCCAACCCACGTCGCTCGGCTACACGCCGCCTCCTCATCGGCATCCCTCCATGTTCGCCGGCGGTACCTGCGCTATCCCGCCTTGGCATTGCCTGCTTGCCGATTACAGTGGGTCCGCGGACCACGATCGAGATCGCACAGGAAGAAGATCTCCCCATTGGACTAACTCAGGAGATGCTCGACGAGGTCGAGATGGACGGTGAGACTTGCAGGGACGACGGCGGTTCCGGCGTCGCGCTCTTCGCTTCCCGGACCGGGAGCGCGAGCACATCTGCGGACGCATGGGCGGCGAATGGAGGCGGTGAGGTGCGCTATTGGATCAACATATTCCGGGGTTACGTGTGGGACGGGCAGGAGTAACCTTGCGCCGGGGACACTCCGACATCGGGCCAGTCGATGTGGTTACCAGGCGTAGGCTTAGATCGAGCACACTTCGGCGTGGCGTGTGCAATGCCTGTATGTCCGGGGCAGTGTCGAGTTGATGTTCGACATATGCCTATCACGAGAGGGGCACCGCGAATCCGAGGTACAAGCGGACATACTGCACCCGCAACGTCGGCAATTGTCGCCGTCAACCGGACTCAAGCTCGCAATGCCTATCTGGTCGCCATACTTCGCTATGCTCCCGCTCGCCGTCCGTTCTCTACAGCCACCATGAAATTGTACCTGATTCCTGCTCACTTCTCACACGACTTCCGACGGTCGGACTCTGGGAACGCCCATCTAAATGCCACGACTTATACGGAGGTCCCTCCTCCGGCCTCGGCATTCACTTCGAGGTTAGCACCTATAGACGCTACCTGTACTGCCTATCTCCAACGATCGCAACCGATAGACATATAATCTCAATCTTGCCACGCCACTGCGACCCTGAACATCGACCGTCCGCAGGCCTTCGTGGCCCATTCTCTTCCAACGCGCGCTCCGAGTGCGAGCCCGACGGCGTCAGTCCTACGGGTACTGCCTACCAATCAAAGGGTCATCCTATCCGATGGCTTGGCCACGAGGCTAGCACGAGTGACCGTGACAGTTCCTGAGATTCATTGCCGATGCTGGCGTTGAGTACGGAGAAGAGGAGGCACCCGGCCGCCCAACGCGAACGGGCAACTCCTGGAGCTCGCCACATACCCCGGCACGGATCGTAGATGAGGACAAGTTTGGACATATAGCTCTTTTGCGCCCATACTACGACAACCGGCCTCCGCGGGGGCTTTCTATGATGTTGTTTGGCCGCCGACGCATACATGCGGGGAAGGATTGCGTCGATGCTGCCACACACCATAGCCAAACCAGCGACGGTCTGATGACCATAAAAATATCATGACATTGCGGGGAACGATTACGATATTAGGGGTGCCGTCCGACATAAAATTACGTATATACTCGTGAATGAAGTGAGACCGAGAGCGCGAAGTGATTGCGATGGAGAAATAAAGAATCGTGACGATTGCGCGGGGAGGGCCCCGGGAGACTTAGGGTACTAGTAGGCTATAACGACACACGTGGATATACAAAAGGCGAGCTAGGCTAATACGAAGAAAGCGCGATGCACCGAAACGCGTCTAGCGCTGATAATTGAGTGGAAAGTAGGAGTAAGTAAAACGAGCGACGTCGTACAGACGACCATGCCCGATATGTGACCATCAGGGGATCCGCTTGGGACGGGACCATGGAGATACGCCGGTGGCGGGCGGACCCTATGGATCCAAGACAAGCCTGCGCGCATCGGCACAGCCCATCGCAGATCAGCCGAACGAAGGGGGTCATGGGAACAATGGGGCACGAGTCGATACGACGGAGGAGGAATGAAAGGGGAATGGAGGAGAACGAATGAGGAGAAGACGAAGCTAGATCGATGATGCAGGGCGAGGACGTTAACGATAGCAAGCACTAGTGTGGTGATGAGTGATGGATGGACGGATGGATGGATGACGAAGAGAGGAGCAATACGGCGTGTCATTTTGATACAGCAAGGCCAAGTCCGCTTAGGGTAGTGGTTATGCTAGGCGTGCAGACAGCGGTGAACATATCTGATAGCGGAACTTGCGACAAAGTAAAGAACAGGAGAACAGAAGACAATGCGGGACTTAGATATTAGATTGATATAAACTTCCGATTCTGTAGGCGTGACCGATGTGCGGTGTGCGTCGTCGTGGTGTGTTCCGGGACGTATTACGTGTGTGCTATATAGTATCCGGGTCCGAGTCGAGGAAGATGTCGAAGTCGATTGTGTTGATAGGATTCAGGGATTCAGAGAGAGTGATGTGGGTGCGGATAGTACCCCTGCGCGTACTGGACAGCCTGCGCGCCCGCCAGTCCAACCGCGTACATGCCGTCCGCCGATTGCTGCTGTTGCTGTTGTTGGGGATGATGCTGTCCGAGGTCCATCTCGTACGTCTCCGCCGGTACCGCTGGGCCATTACCATACTGCATCGGCGAGTCCGTGCGGTACATACCCTGGAACGGCTGAGCCTGGGCTTGCGACGAGCCATACGCCATCGCCGACGCATCCGCGTCTACCTGATGCACGCCCTGGACGGCCTCCAAGCTGAGCATCTGCCGCATCTGCTCCTGCAGCTGCCCGCTCGAGCTCGAGCGTGAGTGGTGCCTGCTGGGCGGCTGCGAGTCGTAGCCCCCCAGCGGCACCGTGTACGCCATCGGGCTCGACTGCGCCGAGTGCGAGACGTGGTGGCCCGGGACGACGTACGGGTGGTACGACCTGCTGCCGCTGCCCCCGCTCGCCTGGCTCGACTCGGACAGCGCGGCAGAGTACGGCCGCCGGATGCTCTCGCCGACGCCGAACTTGGCGATCGACGGCGTCGCGCTCCTGTGCCGCCTGATCGGGCCAGGGCCGTTGTGGAGCGCGAGCTCGGGAGGGTAGAGCGCACCATGGTCGAACGAGAGCTTGTGGCTGGGGGCCGAAATGGACGTGACGTTGTACTCGCCCAGCGCGCTCGCGTGCGTGTGGTACGACGCGTCGAGCCGCTGTTGGTGGTGCTGGGGGAGCGTCAGGGCCGAGCTGCTTGCGACGCCCGTGGCCGTGAACGCCGTAGAGGAGGGGCTCGGCTGCTGCGAGCGCGGGATCGTCGCCCATTGCGCGTCAGGCGAGTTGTTCGTCGTCGACGCCGTCATGTACGGGCTCGGCTCGGGGGACGTGCGGAGGACCTGGCCGGTTGCGTCGTACGAGGGCTGAGGCTGCGCCTGCGCCTGCTCGAAGAACATCTCCGGCTGCTGCTGCTGCTCAGCGACGGCAGCGGCCGCAGCAGCCATTGTGGGCGCGATGGCGCCTGTGGTCGTCACGAGGCCCTCCTCGTCGCCCGGGACCTCGTGCACCTGGCCCTGCACCTCGACCTCGCACATCTGCACGCTCGTAATCCCCCGCGCGCCCGAGAGGTACTCCAGCTGGCCCTCAATGTCGTCCACCTCGATCTCGTCCGCCTCCTCCGGCTCTCCCTCGCCCACGAGCCCCGACGCGCCCACCGCGACCGCGGCCGCGCGCCGATCGTGCGTGCGCACGTGCTGCGCGAGGTTGTCCGAGCGCGAGAACCGCTTCCGGCACCGGTCGCACTCGAAGGGCCGCTCGAGCGTGTGCGTCCGGAGGTGGCGCTTGAGGTGCTCCATCCGCTTGAACATCCGCCCGCACGAGAACAGCGGGCAGACGAACGCCTTCGTCCGCAGGGCCCCGGCGAGCATGCTGCCGCTCGCGTCCGCGCCCGCCCAGCCCGTGGTGATCGCCTGCGGGACGCCCGCGACGGCGTAGGAGTCTGTATCGGAGCGCAGGGGGTGCGCGTGCATAACTGTAGCGTACTCGGGGATCGGGTACGTGTGTCTTTGCTCGAGTTGTGGCCGGGGACCGGGCATGTGCGGCTGCTGCTGCTGGCCGAACTGCTGCTGGTCGTAGCCCGAGAGCTGCGTCATGTTGTCGTACAATCCACTGCCGTCCTGCTGCTGCTGCTGTTGCTGTTGTTGTTGTTGTGACATATCACCAGCAGCAGAGAAGGCCAGCTTCGCCGCTGCCGCCGCGTTCGCACCGTTGACCGGGACGGGTACGCCGCCGGCGACCCCGGGCCCGGAGAGCCCGCTCAAGTATGGAATCTTGCCCTGTGCGCCTCCCGCGGCGAGCTCGATCGCCTGCTGTTCCAGCGCGCGCCGTTGCCTCTCCTTCTGCGTGATGAGCACATCGGGGTTGCTCGCGACGAAGTCGCCCCGTGCCTGTGCCCTGAACATGTCCTCCGCGCTCAGCCGCATCGTCTCGCGCCCGAACCTGTCCAGGTGCGGCTCGCGGTACTGCTGCTGTTGGTGTGCGTGTGCGTGGGGATGCGGCCAGCCGTATTCGCCATCGGGGTGGCCGGGCATGCCGTGGTGGCCTATCGCGGACGGATGGTGGGGGAAGTGGTTGTCGCCCACGCCCGGGGACTTGCGCGCCTTCTGCACCTTCTTGCGCCGCTGCTTGTACGTCGGCGAGCCCTCGAAGAGCGAGAACATCGAGAAGAACGGCGAGTGCGTGTTCTTTGGTGCCGGCCTGGGGCTCTTCTTGTTCGCCTTTACGCTTGCACTATCCTCGCCCTGCGACTCGTCCGCCTCGGACGCCGACGACTGCCCGGCATCGGACTGCCTGTCGCTGTCAGCGACGCTGCCGTTCTCAGATGCCTCGTCCGCGCGCCGGACCGCGGCCTCGAGCTCGCCCTCACCCTCTCGGCTGCCGGACGCCTTGGCGAATTGCTCATAGAGCGAGCGCTTAGGGTCATAGGTGAACGAGAGCGCAGGCTCGCCCGTGACGACGGTCGTTGGCTCGAGGCCCATCTTCTCGCGCTTGAGGTCGCGCTCGAGCGCGTCGAGGAAAAGCCGGTCATGTGGCACAGAGAACCTGTAAGGGGGTAAGAGGAATCGTGAGTAAGGATGTGCCGGTATGCCGATAGGAGCGGAGCGGAGGTGGAATCGGGAGCAATGTGCCGAACGGGGTATGATTTCTGTATAGCATCACCAGGATGGATGGGTGGATGTACGGCGAATGAATGGCGATAGTGGCACCAGGATGCTGTACCTGACCTCCGGGCAAACGGAAAAGAGGAACGAGGCCGAAGATGGGAGGAGGAGGCGTGATCGCAGAGCAGGATGGACCACTCACCAGTAGAACACCTTCTGCTTCTTCTGCGTGCGAATGCACTGGTACTTGAACAACAGATCAAGGAAAGGCGACTGTCAGCGCAACGGAGAAAGAGAGCCCGTCAGCATCACTCATAGACGTGGATGGAACGTGAGGTATGGGCTCAAGTGCACGTCAATCCGTTCGATCGGCCAATCGAGCAGCCCCAATCGTGATCAGCGATCAGGCGAAGACTCGTCCGGTCCCCCCATCGCATCTAACCGTCTGGACGAAACGAGTGATGCCGTAGAAGTCCCCAAGCATTACGAATGGCGAGTGACGAGGGGAGCAAAAGCGAACGGAGGGGCGTGCACAGGAATAGCCATGAGAACGTACCTTGGGCTCTTCCAGACACGCGTCTATCCCAGGCTTGAGGTTCCTGAGGTCGGAGAACACGCCCTCTTCGAACTTCTTCATATTCCGGACGGGGCGACCGAACGCCTCGAAGCGGAAGACGAGCGCGCGGACGATGTCCGTTCCTGTGATGTGATACAAGCCGCCCCAGAGGACACAGGAGACGTACTCGGAGTTGGGGAGCAGGAAGCGGTTGAGGGCCGGGTGTGCGCTGTGCGGGTGGCCCGCGGGCACGGTGGACGGGTCTGGGCCAGCGAAACCGTTCTCTGTGTTCCAGCGGGAGGGGGCGGTGGCGAGGAAGAACTTGAGCCTGTCGAGGTGGGCGAGCATCTCGCGCTCCTGGAGCGTCAGCGGGCGGCTGAGGCCTCCGTGCGGCCCGGAGTTGTCAGTAAGCGCATCGGCGATGGACTGCTCCTGCTGGGGGAGGTCGCTGTCGCTATCGTGGTCGGCATCGATGCCATGCTGCAGCTGATGGTACGAATTGGGGCGGGAGGGATGCGCAGTCTGCTCTTCCGGATCCTGCTCGTGGGGCGCGGGGTTGGCTGTCTGGATCTGCAGGGACTGTTGGGCGGACGGAAACTGGGACTGCTGCTGTTGCTGCTGAGCGAATGGCTGATCGTAAAACTGTGCGGGGTCGTGATGTGGTGGGTAGGCGAGCCTCTGGCTGTAGTGGGATGATGATCGTGGAGGATACGATCGTGCTTCAAGCGGGAAGGGGAACGGGTGGGACGACTGATGCGAGACGAGGCCTTCCATTATACGGGGAGTACTATGCGTGGGGATGGAAACGAGGATGATACAAGAGAGCGTGTGCGCCTGCGAGTTGTTAGCCTATAACTGTGCGAGGTCGGGCGGTAGACGAGTGAGCGGTCGATCGTATGCGCGAGAGAGGCAGGGGACGTACGTTACTGTGCCGGGGTCGATGCAGATGGAGGATCGGCGTGGTGGATGGGATTAGGATTAGGGGAGGGCACAGACCTCGGAAGTAGAAAGGTTGGGATAGGAAGAGAGCAGGCGGGTGCGAAGCGAAAGCGTGACGGACGACGGTATTATCGAGGATGTAGAGGGCCGGAGATAGGAGATTACAGCGCACACTCGTTCTGGGAGCGCGGCTCTAGAGTTTCAGTAGTCGTGGTCGCCGTTGTCGATGGCGGGGGGCGGGGACGAGACGGGGAGGGAGAAGGGCAGAGACAGAAAGGGGAGAGCGGCATTAAATGCGAGATGGCCGCCAACCGGCTTCCCTTGCCCTTTTCGGGCGACTCCTCCCAGCAGTCACGCAGTCACTCTCCGCCTCCCCTGCTGCAGCGCTCCGATTCACCAGCTCTGCCGGGCCCGCAGACAGCGCACAGCAGCAGCCGCCTCGTCCTCGGTCTCCATTCCCCCATCAACACACAGCCCGCCACCCCCCTGCATCAGTCTCCATTTCATTAGGATATCCAAAGCCTCCTTCCCACTCGGCCAATATCACCTCAGTCTCGACATACGTCTATACCATGTACATACACACAGATCCTGTCAAATCACGTACACAATACATACCCATCGTCCATCCCACTCCCACCCTCCTCCATCCTCGCCCTCGGCTTCGTCGTGACCCGTCCGTCACCTCGCAAGACGATCCACGTCTTCCATCGCCACCGTCGAGCCCGGCTCGGTGCCTCTTCTCGCTCGCTAGAACCCACCCTCTCGAAGCAACGCAAGTGAATCATTCATGGCTTTCGAAGAGCTCCGCCGCTGGCAGATCGCGCACGTCCAGAACCCAGATCTACAGATGCCATCCGACACTTGTCTTCCTCCTTCCTTCTCCCTTCTCTCGTCTCGCTCTCGACGCTCTCGCGTTCCTGATTCTTGTCATTCGGCCCTCCCTCCGGAGCGTCTCCCTGGGCCTGTGTCGGCGCTGCGCGGGACGCCATCATGATGACGACCGCCGCGGGCCCTCACCAGACTTAGGCCCATCATCCACGACCACAGCCATGCGCAAACCGCCCACCCACATTCCCATCGCACACACATGCCAGAATCGCCACACTCGCGGCCCATTCGAGCTCGAATCTGATCCCGCTCCGGCCGAGCTGGGCCACTCCTCTCTAGCTCAGCCTTCCCACCAGGCAGGATGTCTGCTTCCTCCCCAAACCCACGCAAGGCGTTCGCTGTCCAACACGCTCGCAACTTCCCGCGCACGAGGCGATCAACCGCTCCCCCACCGACCCCAGCCTGGCCCCCGCCGTCCCTCGTTCTTCCTTCTCCGTTCTGCGTTCTGCATACTGCATCCCGACCCCCCTTCTTGTCGCCGAATACGCCCCCTTCGAGGCCTCCGGCCCCCCTTTTCTTCTCTTCCGCTCGTCCGGCGACCCGCCGATCGGATGCAGATGGGCACGTACGGTCCGCGGCGACCCCACACCGCTTACCGCTTGCGACAGGTGCACTGCGTGCGGCGACGCGCGTCAGGCCCGCTCGCGTGGCGATGCGGCGGTGTCATCGTCCAGGGTCCTCTCGCTTCAGTCTCTACACTTGCACACTGGCCAACGATCTCGCGACGACACGACCGCTGTGCACAACGCGCTGATGCATACCATGACTCCCCCCCCATGGCGGCGGCGGCGGCGACTGGTAGCCACTGCATAGGCCGCCCGCGGCTGCTGCGGCCGAGTCTCTCCCTACACACACCGTGCCATCTCCGTCGCCACCACCAGTAGCCCCCGATCCGCCGGCAGCATCGTTCGTGGCTTTGATTGAACAATCCAGACCGGGCATAGTGCGTTTGCGCTGCCCCCGCGCGCCGATCGGTTCTGTGCGACTTACAAAGTCCGCGAGCATGCAACGTGCCCCCCTAGCTGTTGGTTCGTACGTATATACCGCGCACCGCCCCCCGCCTCCGAGCGTCTGTGGATCTTGCAGCGTCGAGCGGGAGACCAACCTAACTTACTGCGACTTGACTTGGCCCTTGCGAGAGATATAGTTTGTGATGATTGACGATTTCATGCAATCTTCGTGATGTTGATCATGGCCATCCAAACTCGCAGCCTCGGGGAACAGGGTCATGCCCAGAAGCGCAGATCGTACATACGTAGGCCATTGTGCCTATACCTATGCGCATCGGTCCTTCAGCAGCAACATCAGGCAGGCCGCTATCGGACGGCGATGAGACGGCTCCAAGTCCAAGTGTGCCTACGTGCCATGGCTGCGCGCAAATTTTTGCGTCATCGCTGCCGCCTTGGGACCGACTGGAAGTCATCATGCATCGGGGATCAAGCAATCTGCTGGTGAGATGGGCGTCCGCTCGTGTTCATAGGTCGCGGATATGGAAGCGCGGCCGATCGCCTCCACCTTCCCCGTGCGTCGTTCCACCAGCCATGCCCCGTAACCGCTGCGGCAGCCCGCGCGATTCGGAAAATGAACGCAATGGGGTGTGGCGACCGTTGGCGGGCACGCTAAGGACTGGCGCCGCGCCGCCTTCTTCGCGAGTGCCGCCGTGCGCAGGAAGCTTCCGCTTCTTCGGGACGGTGATTATGCATACCTATATTTCTAGCGACGGAGTAGACTTCGTGCCTGGTTATACAGACATATCGTTAGCAAACGCCTGGGGATATGAACTCACTAGCAGCTGGATGTACTCTTCCTCCAATTCTATGAAGAGTCAGTGGATAACACTGAACCGCGCTCCTCGAGCTTAGCCACTCGCGGCCGGATATCGAGCGCATCCTTCGCCTGGAAACACTTCATGCGAGTACGCTAATGCACGCACCGTTAAGTTCTGCATTCCCTTCGGACGCCCGTCCGGCCGTCAGATATGCTTCTCTCGGCCACGGTGCCACCACGAACCTAATCCTGAACCTAATCCGACAAGCCGCGATCCTCAGCGCTCCCAAGCCCATGACCTAGCCGAGCCGTAGTGGACCCTTGCGCGACGGTCCCCCGTTGCTAGATTCGGTGTAGGATTGGACCGTAGAAGCTTCGTGTGCTGCAGGGGTGCCATCCAAGCCATGAGCGTGGACGTTGCCGCCGTCACGAAGGCGAGATGCTGCAGATGCGGGAGCCAGTTTCGCGGATAGGGTTTCTGATCCGATTGCGCTTGCGAGAGGTCAGACTCTGGGGCTCCCTGAGCAATGTGCACGTCGATGCAGATCGTCTTAGTTGCGAATTTCAGCCCCCATCCGCGTCTTCTAGGTGGGCTGCGCCGCGCGACGCTTTGCCACTGCAGCAGCAGCCGAACTAAATGGTGGGAAGTATCGCAATGCAAAGCACAGTGCGAGAGCTCGCCGTCCCCTGTAACAGCGCGTCGATCGAGATCGGTTTCTAGACAGGACGTTGGCGAGCAGCGGATGTTTTCGAGCAGAAACGTTGGGGGCGTTTCCACGTACCCACCAGCTGGAACTCTTGGGTCCTTCCTCCCTCCTACTGGAGCGTGCCTGTTGGCTGTGAGCGCCGACGATGACTTCTGGAAGTGGAAGGCCCTCCGCCGCGGTAACTCCGTGGCTCGCGCCACACGTCGCATGGAATGGCTGTGCGAACCTTGAAGCTGTAGACTTGACGTTGCAATGAAATCCGAGCCCGCTGACGTCGCATATGCGTCTTGAAGCTTGAAGGCTCTGGGGGATTGAATAAAAGGAGGATCGGGCATAACGAAACTCCTTGCGAGCCTCCGTCGCGCAACGGCGGCGCCTTCGCTTATTTCGACAGCTTCCCGGAAGAACCGCCTCCAAGTCAGATCATCAGTCGATGTCAAGTTCCCGACAGACTTCTCCAGCACTTGAGGCAGGTCCAGGCTCTCACAGCCAGAGTTGGGATCCTCGCCGTGCCGTTGGGATCGACAGTTGCCGGCGGCACCGGGTAACATTCATGTCGTAGGGACAGCCGTCTGGATGTACGACGTCGACACCTGCGCCTTCCGCACTTCGCAGATGCCGCCTGATAGAACACACGAAGGCTGCGAGCGGGATTGCAATTCATGAAACTCTAGGCCCGTGACACTCCTCCACGAGGCAGGCACAGAAGTGAGGATCTGTCCTGCGAAGGCCCTCGTGAGTATATGCAATGCCGCGAGTGATGAGAGAGAAGGTCCGGCGCACGTCGGCATGGGTCCGGTGTTAACCATCGGTCTTCCTAGTTGACCGTGACGCCCATCCAGCTGGCGTGGATGTTCACATGGTCATCTCCGACGTGGTTCGATATCGTGCACGCTTTTTCCAATAGGATTCGAAGGTAGACACGTCTGTCCCAGCATAACTCGAAACTGGCCACGGCTGCCATCCTATGTGAACGTTCAAAGGGTCGGTGCGGAAATAGTCACTCACCGGTGTGATTACTCCGCACTAATCAATAGTAACGAGCAAAATGTATGGTCAGTACCCGAAATTGACCTGAAACTGAGACGGCAAACGGAGCGATACGATTCTTTAGGTGTTCCCCGGCTGGGAACCTCGTCTGATTGCTGACCTTGCGCACAAGTAACTTCTATAGTCATCACGTAACCTCTACAGTCCTTCGTGCGCATCCATGCACTGCACCAAGCGCTTGGGACTGCTCTGCCAATCATGCAATAGGCCACACATTTGGTTTGGTCAGCCTGCATCAGGAATACCCCGTTCGAGTTAGACCCACGTGTTCCGGGCATCGCACGCGTGAGGTGTTTGCGCGACGCCACTCTCTGAAGACGCGTCCCTTTCGCGTCACTACGTAGGCGGTGAACTGCGTGGGCCCCGGAGATTCATAACATCCGCCGCGTCCTCAAAGAAAGAGGTGGTTAGACCGCTAGCTGATCAGCCATATCGCATGCGTGAAGAAGTAGCGAGCACCCCTCGAGCATTCTGCGGCTCATACTTACACGCCACCAACCTCGTCTAATTCGAGACTGCGAGTCGATCGACAGGTCGATAACGAGTCCGATCGAGTGGCCGGCCCGGGCCACCGTCATGCCAGGTGAGCGGGATGACCAAGTATGGAACAAGGGGCGCAAAGCATCTTGGAAGACAGCTTCAGATTGATACCGACGCCGCTATTCTCATCATGCTGTTGATGACTGAGGAGCCTGAGGCGTCACACGCTTTCATAAGAAAAGTGATCATGGTGGGAACCAGAAGCGAAAGGTTATCTCAAGCGAGTTCGCCATTGGAGGGCACGTACTGCGTCGAGCGAAATGGCGATCAGCGCCAGAGACAAATAGTGCATGTTAGGAATGGAAGGCTGGGGCGCAGATGATGTGAAACACCCAAGCACTCAGAGCGGCAAGGGCGGGACTCGCCCCGAAGAGGAAACATAAAAGGGTGCGACGCTAAAGTCGTTGCGACGGCGTAGCTCCAATATGCGTGCAGGCTCCGGACTGAGGTCCGTATCGAACACGGCGCGGCTTGCGTTATGAGACAAGGACATGGTATGCCCGGTCCTGAGCTGAGACGGGCGATACGCCCAAAGAGTTGAATCTGAGAGCGTCGGAGGACGCACGATAAACGATCCCCTTCAGCCGAAGGGTGCACGAGAGCTACTCGAGCTGCGATAGGAGCATGGGCGAATATCCTCCCGAGTTGGTACAGCGTAGTGGGCGCAACACGGCGTCTGCTTCGGTTCTATCTTATGTCAAAATGTGAATCTAGAATCATCTACCGTACCCACGATCAAGGCCCATTGGTGTAACGATCGAGAGCGGCGTCCGGGTCGTCCAAGGTGCCCATCTACGGTGCGCTCTTTATCGAGTCTATCCGAAGCGATTGGGCCTTCAGAGTGCATCGTGGCAGGCGATTTAGACGAGATGGGACACGGCCTTTAGCAGAAGGGCGCTGAGATTCGTCTCAACCTCAGGACATCCCATGTCATTAGTCATGCATGGTATTGTGCTATGACGTCGCACTCCGCGTGAGCGTGGCTGACGATTCTGCAGACAAGGATTTGATTCTTACCAGCGGCAGGACCTGAATGGCGGGCCAACAGCGCATTATGTAAGACCGGTCAGCCAAACGGACCAAGTTGGCCAGAAGACGTTTGAGGAGTGGACACATATGGGTGCTTGCCTTGGAGATGTAGCATCAGGCATCTTCGCGCGCCCAGGGCGGGGTCTGAAGGGTGCTGCGGGATCTGTAGGCATCACGGAACATCGGCGAGAGCAGGAACTTCAGCGGGCATATACCTCACGCCGTGGAAGATGCGCCTTACGGATGATCGTCGTTAAGAGACGTTCATAGGCGCCAACGTCCCAGTCTTCATGGCGTTCGGCGGTACTCGGTGTGATACTCTGTACCTAGCCTGCGAGACAGGACTTGACTGCCCTGAAGACTATAGCGTCAGGAGGCTGACGTCACACCTGAAGATCAGTATATGCGTACTAAATGCGTAAATATGGGATAGATCAGAGGCGTCAAAGGCGATACCTCGTACTTGTTGAGAATACAGACCGGTGTTGAAGAATGTGACCAGTGCCTTGGTCTCTATCATGACCATTTGCAAGTAATCACAAGGGCCAGCAACGCAGGAGGTTAGTGTGGCGCAAGATACCTTCAAGCAATGCCCAGCAAAGACGACAGCAGTCGCCCAGAGACTTCTGGATACAACTCCCAGATGATGTGGACGATTTACAATTGTTCCTATTAGGGATGAGGGAGTAGCGGATCCCTGTGTACTGGCAGTACTGCTGCTCACCATGATGGCTGGGTGGGATGCGGGATGCCGTAAAGCGCCTATATCGACAAGCGACCTGTGGTCATGAAATGATGGAGCAGGACTTCCGCCATGATAAACTCAAGTCAAAGCTGGGAGCAAGGCTCAGGGGAGGAACGACCCAGCTGCCGTTTGTGGAAATAGCCCGGCTTCTGAGGGATGGAATGTCAAACCTTCTCTGAAGGCGCGTTAGACCTGCGACACGACCGTTCGGAGCGCCAGGGTCGATGCCCGTAGAGCGGATCTGTACAGTGTATCAGCGCAGAGCCTCAGAAAAAGTGACCAGCAGAGATGACAAAGAAGATAGAGCGATTGTTGGGAGTCTGAATGTCCAAACCCGCTGTGTTCGTTGCGAAGATCTGCATCATGCACGAGTTGAAGCTAGCTATGTATGCCCTATCAAAGTGAGTAGGCATGGGGTGAAGATGACACTCACATTCTTACCCGTGGGGATGGGTGTACTGATTCGCCCCGGTCAGTACGTATACATACTTGCCCAGCTTGACTTGGATCGCTTGTGACAAGTGTCGCTATGACGGGACACATCGTAGATCTTTCAGAGCAAAGAAAAAGCAGAACTGTCAGACCTGTATAATGATGCGCATATATGCAGCGCAGGTGAGGTTACGAGCTTGGGACGTAGTGATGGAGAGCAACGAGGTTTTTGTGGCGTTCTGACTTCGACGCCATATGCGCCGGCCGTTTCCGGCGAACACTACTCCGCAGGCGGTTGAGACTCCGACCTACTTGCCTCGACATCGTTTCATGCAAGACCATCTGGGGCTTCATTCTCGGGCAGTAGCATATAGATGCAGCCAAATTTTAATTGCAGTCACATCATTAATTTTCGGAGTGAGTTACAGTTTCTTTCTAGGCCGGATACTCATCCGACAGGGTGAACCGTCTGGACAGAAGGGAGCGTTTTATACCCAAGTCGCTAAGCATCGGGGGGAGCAATGATGCCGCATAGCTTTTCAAAAGAGTTTGGCCGGATGTGCGGGATATGTCCGTGAGGACAGCGGCGGCCACAGGGCAGACCATGTCGACGGAAAGGCACGTCAAACTGGAGACCGGGCTGCGGAGACGCCGGACGAGTGTCGCTGTTGTGGTGAGGGTGGTGAGGGGTTGCAGGTGATCCAAGGCTATATTTCTTGTGACAGGCTCGGTCATGGCTGCGTTACCCTCAAGGTGTCTATAGACAGGTGCCTCGCGTTAGGAACGTCGCTACGCGTCCGAGGGAGTGATGCCGTGGTCAACGATGGTGAGCACGCGCAACCTCTCAGTTTTTGTCCCGCCAAGTCTGTCTACTTTTCCGCTCGACACCCCCGCAGAGCGACGCAAGGCTAGCTGGGGTGCGGACAGCGACTTCGTGATGGCGGAGTTCCTCGAGCCCGCCACGAAGCGACACGTCCAGCTGAGGGTTTCCATATCTCTAGTGCTTTCGTTTTCGCAGCACACTGTCTCCCTGAGCTCCCTCGGAGTGGCACAGAACCCGCAACCTGGCCGGCTTCGGCGACAGGGGGGCAACGGCAATAGGGTATGGTTAGAAAAAGAATCGTTTTCGAACAGAGAGTTATGAACAGGCGCCCCGAATCAGGCCGTTTCTAACCGGGATCAATAACTGTTATTAACTCTTGTGTTATTAACTGTTAAGAAGATTTTCTAACGCCGCCGAGGTTTATTAACAGTCGTATTGAATCGATGATCACCACGCGTCCTATCATCTTGCCTGGCTCGCAATCTGCTACCCTATCCTCATTGTAATCCTTGTCTCCATCATCTGGGTCGCACAAAAGCATGCGCAAGGCTTAGGCACGGAGATTAACCTCGCCATCTACCTTGAACTCGGTATCTTACGCCTACAGCCTCCGACCGGAC